ATCTTCCTGGAAGAGGACGTGTGTCTATATCGTCCTAATGCATGGTGAGGAGGAGACTTTGAGTGGCCAAAGAATCTCCAAGGATCACAGCTGGAGAATCGCAGAGATTAGTCTTGGGGTCAGAAAGCCTAAAACAAAATCAAACAGCCCCTACATCACCACAAGTTGTTCAGGAAGGTTTCAGCATATTCAATTGTCAGACATGATTGGAACTTCGAACGGGACTGGCTTCTATGGTCAGATGAAACTAAAAAAAATAGCTTTTTGGCAGCAAAACCACCAGATGGGTTTGGTGCAAACAGGGATAAAAAGTACCCCATGCCCACAGTTAGATATACTGCTGGATCTTTAATGTTGTGGGCCTATTTTTCTGCTGAAGGTCCTGGACATCTTGTTCAGATATTGGCATCACGGATCCTATCAAATACCAACAGATAAAAAAATCTAAACCTGACTGCCTCTTTTAGAAATCGTATAATAGGCCGTGGTTGGATCTTCCATCGGGACAGTGATCCAAAACAAATATCAAAATCAACACAAAAATGTCTCACTGAGCACAAAATGAAACTTCTGCCATGGTCGTCTCAGTTCCCTGACCTGAACCCTAAAGAAAATGAGTGGGGTAAACTGAAGAGAAGAAGCACCAACATGGAGCTGCGAATCTGAAGGATCTGGAGTGATTCTGTATGAAGGAATGTACTCTGATCTCTTGTCAGGTGTTCTCCAAACTCATCAGGCATTATAGGAGAAAACTCCGAGCTGTTATCTTGGGAAAAGGAGGTTGCAATGATTGGGTGCCAATAATTGTGGCTAATGAAAGTGAAGTGATGTGTAGCCAAGTATGGTGTCCCATACTCTGAATTTGTGCTCTGCATTTAACCCATCCAAGTGCACACACACACAGAGCAGTGAGTAGTGAACACACACACCCGGAGCAGTGGGCAGCCATGTGCTGCAGCGCCCGGGGAGCAGTTGGGGGTTCGGTGCCTTGCTCAAGGGTCTCACCTCAGTTGTGGTATTTAGGGTGGAAGAGAGCGCTGGTCATTCACTCCCCCACCAAAAATCCCTGCCGGTACCGAGACTCAAACCCGCGACCTTTGGGTTACAAGTCAGACTCTAACCATTAGGCCACGACTGTGAACTACAGAAAAACATTTATTTCATAATAAGATTTTCCCCCCACTTTCTATTTTTTTTACTTCAATGGTAGGTTAGAATTTTGTGAATTTTTTGAATGAAAGATCAAAAAGATAAACAATGCAGATTTATTGTCACAGCCACTTTTGCTCATGTTTACCAAGGGTGCCAATATTAGTGGTTGGCTCTGTATTAGTAGTAGTTGTAGTAGCAGAAGTAGTATTACTAGTATTATTCATAAAGCATATTATGTTTTTGTAGTCTAATGACACCCTAAAGAAAACACACTTTTATGGATGGATACAAGCATTTGTGAATTGAACCTGATCTGTACAGGTCTCGATACACTGCTGAGGCGTGTGTGTCGGCCCAGAGGTCTGGATCAGGAAGTCAGCAGTAGAGTTCTTTGGCTTCTTGAAACAGCCGTGGTAGTGAACAGTTCTGTCTGAGAAACATTGAACAGAAAACAGAAGTCGTCTTACACAAAGCCTCAGGTGACCCTCCCAATGTATTCAGAAAATGCCACATGGAGTTACAACAAGAGCAGTGTGCACTATTTCTCACGATTTTCTGTCTCATCTAATCATACTCCATCCAGGCCTATTTTGGTCATGGGTTCTGTCCTTTAAACTAGTTCTTCTCTAATTCATTATTCACAAAAAAATAAAAATAAATTAAGCAAGTCATATGTGTGTGGCCCATTCAAGCAGAATTGCAATCATGTTCTGTTTTAATGTGACTCACATCTCCTCTGTCCTGGAAGTCGATCCTCAACTCTGTAAACAGACATGCGTCCCACCCCTCCACAGGGGGATCCCTTCTCTCCACGGCAATCCAGATTACAGTCCTCACCCCGAGCCCGCTGGGCACAGACCCGATTTCCACAATGGCACTCCGCTCCATACTCCAACCCAGCATACCGGAACCCACTGTAAAGAGGACATGGCCTTCAAGGGATTGTTCACCCAAAAATAAAAAATGAGTTGTCATTTACTCACCCTCAAGTTGTTCCAAACCTTTATGAGTTTCTTTCTTTCTGATAAACACAAAAGAAGATATTTGAAAGAATGTGGGTAACTGAACAGCTGATGGTCCCCTTTGACTTCCATAGTATTTTTTTCCTTACTACAGAAGTCAAAGGGTATCATCAACTGTTCAGTTACCCACATTCTTCAAAATATCTTTTTTTGTGTTCAGCAGAAGAAAGAATACAGGTTTGGAACAACTAAGGGTGAGTAAATGATGACAGATTTTTGGGTGAACTATTGAGGGAATTTACAGAGACATGCACATGAATATGCTATTCTATTGTATTCTGTTCTATTTTACATTGTTCTGTTCTATCCTGCTTTACCAGTCTTATCTTGTCGGAAATGCTTCTGCGTTGAAGAATGAGGTGGATAAATGCATCAGAAAGTACCTGTTGGCATTTCCTGAAGGAAGCAGCACATAATTCTATTTTGAGCAGTGAATACATTTTTTCTGACTTTGAATATTCCAAGTTGATTATTTTAGAATGGAATTTCTGTATTTGAAATTTAGCTTTTATGTTTTTAACACCCTTTGTCTTGCTGACTGTGACTCTCAGGATGGACTTCAGGTCAGTCACATCAGCCAGCTCACATTCTGCCACCTGCTTCTGTGGATAAACACCAAACGCATTCTTCTAAAAGAACAGGGTTTCTTTCGTTTACTCTGTGTACTTTCTTTAAGACGTTACCTCTCAGAGCAGGTGTCCTGACACAAGGCGCTGGTCATTTTGCGGAAATCATAAAGAACGGTCCCGCTGAGTGCATGCTCTGTTTCATTGTTTATAAAACATCCGACGTAGGTCCCTTGTTGAGAATGATTCATAAAAGAAATATAAAATGTTTAGAATATTTTAAAAAATCTCCAAATTTAAGATGGTTATTTTATAAACCATTACCTTTATGACTGGCTTTCTTATGTGACAGACTATGTTCAGAAGAGCTTTTCTGTTCAGCATTACCATGGAACCAGTGGCGTCTCAGATGCCTGATCTCCAGATTACGAGATCCGAGGTGCTTCTGGTCCTTTCTGTTTTCTGTCTGAACAAAAGGTTGGTTGTCCATCTCTTGGATGACAGTCCTCCTGTACAACCACCTGGCAGCATGTACCTCCATGGATCTAGGTGGCGCTGGTAGTGAAGGTAGCGCCGCGGTATCTATTTCTTTCTGAAATGTTACCACAATGGAGCGCTGAAGCAGTAACACGCTTCCTGCCATGATGTAAGCCACACCCAGAAAAAACAGAAGCAGCTGAGCCCGCCTTAAAAAGTGCTGTAGTCTGTAGAACAGCTTGGCCATCCTGGTTCAGACCATCCAGATGGATGTCCAACAAGATCCTTTTACGTTTACAGGACAAATAAACACACGATTATATATTCTCTGATCTCTGATCTTCATCCTTTAGAGAAGATTTAGCTCTTGGTGTCTGCACCATCATGAGTTCACAGGACCTAAAATAAATAGAAAAGCCTGTCAAGATGAATACAAGATCAGACTATCAAATAAAAACATGTTCTTCTTTAGATTCATGCCCTTCACTCAGATCTGAACACTTAATATCAAAAAAACTTGTGAATCACTTGTCATATTTCTCCATTTTCAGTAGAAGATGCTGAGAAGGCTTGTTGTGACCCAGAAGAGGCTTCAGCCCTTTGGGGCTAATGAGCTGTTTGTGATGAATCGATTATCGATGAGTTGATGAATCGAGTCTAATGATCATTTTCCCTTTTGATTTATTAAACATGTTTGGAAACAACCAGAAAAATGAAGAGAACCTGCTAGCCAGAAACAAAGTGTTTCATAAGGTATGAAAACATCTACAGAAAGAATCTCTGAATTGTCTGTGTCTTGTTATTCGTTTGTGCCTAGTGGTTTATGGGATGGGAGTTGTCTGTCCATCAGAGTGATGGGTTGAAAGACATTTCTGCCCGTGGGAGGGGAGAGCTGTCCATCCTGCTGAACTTCATGTCACAGATCATAGAGATCATTCATATTGCTGACAGAGAGAAGACGTCCAGATTCGTCAGTGTATAGCAAAGCTTTTAAAGTAATATGTCGGAGGAAATCATTTGTTTTGTCAGAGTATTAGTAGCCTACACTGTAAAGAATTATCGTGATTTTAACAGTAAGAGACTGTAAAATGCTACAGTAAAAACCTGTTAATTGGTTAACAGTAGGTTTCCATACTATAAACGGTGAATAACTGTGATTACGTTTAATGTTAACATTTTTACAGTAAAATACTTTTATGGTTTTTGGAAGTGAAAGTAAAAAAATGTAAATTGACATTCCCAGAATTCCCTGCATGACACTTCACATTTTTCAAGTTTCTTCTTATTTTTTTCTTATCAGTTGTGTACATTAGAGTTTTATCTTACATCTTATGTTGTTAAATTCAGTACATTCAGTATCGTGTGTTACCATGATGGTTTTTTATTGTTTGTGTGAATAAATGTAACACCCCTGTGGACTGTTTGTTGTGGTTTCTTCCCCTTGTGTTGGTTTAGCCCGTCTAATTATTAGTTAATCACCTCATTGTGCTCACCTGTCTGTCCCTCGTTAACTGCCCTATATCTGTTCCTGTCTCTTGTGTTCTAGTTTGTCGGTTATTGTGAATGTTACCCTGAGTGTGTGTGTCTCATCTACCCGTATCTGCCTTGTTGTCTCTACATTAAACATCCTTATTTGAATCCCTGTCGTCCTCGTCATCCTGCCTGCCTCCACACACCTTGACCGTGACAGATGAAGGCATAAAACATTATTTATTATATATTTAATTTATAATCAAATGACAATTAAACCCTTTTATTTTTTTGGCAAACAAAGTGCTGCACAACAGAGGTTTACTGTTA